TGCATGCTATTGAATTTCAAGAAATAGATCTAGTATTCTACATGTGAGCCTTTAAGTAAGTTTGAGTTATATATTTTGAAAACTGCAAAGGGTTTAAGAAATTCTACGAAAAACTTGTGTAGAAATGGGGAAACTTTTTTTATTTATAAGTCAGCTGGCTATAAGGAATACCCAGTATAGTAAATAATTTAGTCTTTTCTAATTGAAACAAAGTTTTGCTGTTATACATATATTGGCACAGGGAGCCAAAGTGTCTATGATGGACACTTTGAATAATTTGTTATGTTGTATAGATACATGATTTACAAAGTAAAGAAGAGAAAAAAGATAAAATCTTTAAATAGAAAATATAATTTTATAGCTACATTTTACAGAATATTCCAAGAGATAAGACTGGCTATTTTATTATCATTTTGAAAATATTACTTTTTAAACAACTAAAAAACTTTAAATCCTGATATAATTTCAACATTGAAAAGGAAATATTATTGAAAAATATGTAGAACAAAAATGCTGTCTCAATGCCATTGGTACCACTATACTGCCTAACAGGTGTTATATGAGGTATTAAACGTTCCACATAACTACACATAGGACTTTAGATTTAGCTAAACCAATTGTTCAAGGCCTCTCACATACTGAAAGAGGATTACGTTTATTAACAGCGGGGAGGAAAAAGAACTGTAAAAGACCTGCTAACAAATTTGGGAATGGTTATTTTACTTAAAATGAAAAGTAAAAGAATTTTCAGCACTTCATGGCACAAAACAAGACATCCACCTCTAAGTTGGTCTTCTCTGTTCCATAAATTCACTGCTGATGTAATAAATATTTGGGATTTTCATGGCTGTGTAATATTTATTATTGTTATCTTTTAGAACTCACTCACTTCTAATAACTTTAAGATTTCATGTCTACATTTCCATGACTTATTACCACCACAATTTTTTTTAAAATTCATTTATTTTAGTTGAATGCAGTATTGAAATTTTTAGGTATAAGTAATAAGCATTAATTGCTTACACAATAAAAAGTTCAATTTTATTTGTAACTTGCTTTATGGATAGAGAAATTGCTACTAATTTCTACAAAAGAAATAATCTACAACTCCTATTTTGTGAATGCCTAATACTTTTTCATTTTCAGTGACATTTTCTGAATTCATTGTTCTAATATTTTCAATATTTGGAAGAGTAGAACACTACAGGAAAACCGAAAGTGGCCCCACAACTGTTGATTAAATACACTATTGTATCAGTATTTCACAACTCAACATATGTCAACTCTGAAACAGAGAGCTGGCCTACTGGGTGAGTAAAACATTGACATATATTTGTATTATACATAGCCATGGAAATGACTCTTCAAAATTCCCAGGTAGAACAGAGTTGTTAATGCCAAAAGGCTTCCTATATTAACACAAGAAAAACGACTTTCTTTCTTAAAGGATGGCACAACTGGCATAGAAGGTCATTAAATGCTAATAGACCCATTGAGGTATGGTTGCTTAATGGAGGATAAGAACAGCATACACACAAGGAACAACACAGAGAGGATTTTGACCTCTGCACTATCTACAGTAAGAAAGACAAAGGAGATCAAAAATAAACACTTTCTTTGTACTGAAAATGCTAAGTTCACATAATTATTTTATGCAATAGGGAATCTGATCAAAATAATAACAGAATATAATGCAAGACTTCTACTGACTTAGAAGAATTTGCAGTGGTCCGTTTACATATACATTTTGTTAGAACCATCTTAATGTAGTAGAATAGACCCTTCTTCCAGAAGTAGGTAAAAAATCAGGAAATAGAAAGGATAATGTTGAGATAAATTAGTTGAGCCATTTCCAAGTGTCCATAAATTTATAAAAAAGAGTTAAATTTTCTTTGATCTGAAGAGGTTCTTCACACATGTGCAGTGTACAACATTCTATATATATGTATATATATGGAGCTTCCCTATGTACATATGCATATGTACATATTATCTATACACATTGTCAAATGTACACATAGCTTTAAACCAAAGAAAATGAGTTGGCAACTGAATAATCATTGCCAGACAATCCAAGTGCTGAAATAAACGACACAGATCAGCTACAGGGCTGTTTTATCTCCCACATTGTCCATGCCTGAGAGCAGAATTCCCCTTTGAAGCTTTTCTTTCATTGCAACACTGATTGTCATAGATAATCTTTGTGCTTTTGCATAATGCCCATCCTGGATGTAACATATATTCACATACAACAGTGGACATTTTAAATAAGCATGCTGGAACACAGGCAGGACCACACATCCATGCACAAAATATTCTGAATATGACTTTCCAAACTGACAGCAACACCAACATGCACCACTATCTTATTTGGTCCTGAACAGCAAGGAATGCACAGCTGAAGCAACCATGGCAAGTTTCACTTGCAAGAGTTTCTTTACAGAAGAACATCTAGTAGAGAAACAAAATTAAATGAATGAAATGAGGAAAATTTTCCTCCAAATGAACAAACAACAACAAAAATCCTCCCACACTTTAACATTGAAATCTGGCTATCCTCCTCAATCCACATAAAGCAGATACTTTCACAAAATTCTGAGTTGAATTGTTTACAAATGATACATATTAGTGTCTCACAGCTTTTCTCAGCCATTGGAAAAGCTCGTCTTGATAACGCATTTTCCAGCGCACATTGGCTTCCACAGTTTCCACAGCTCGAGAGAAAGAAGCAGCAGCAACCCCATCATAGTTCTTCATGAAATTCTTTAGCTGGAAATAGAAATTTAGCACATCAAATCTGCATTTCTTGTGAATTCCTGAGGAGCATATATGAACAAGAATCGATGTGGAGTGTTACAACGGAAATAGAGAGAAACTTGCATACCTTCTCTAGCTTCACTTGCGTTGGTAAATTTTAAATCTCTAATTCTAGACACCATGAAACAAAGCACCATGTTTACAGCCTCCCACTGATCACGTACAGGAGGTTTGGCCCTTTGCTATGGCTAACACTTTGGGTATTTTGGTCATCATGCTATCAATCGCCTAGGTTATTTTTCAGGAACTTGAAGTCATATATGTTTAAAGTACCAGCTCTTTACTAAGGTGAAGGCAGATATTTTCTAGATGACATTTTGATGTTTTAGAGCCCAAATCTCTCTACTTAGGCCTTGGTAACACTGGTGTTTTCTGCACTGGCATCCTACGAAGAGTTCTGAAGAGTACTCACGCATGGACAACCCATCCATCTCCTTTAATCATTATTCCTACCTTAAATCATCCTGTTTACCCCATATGTATTTCCTAACTTGATAGTACATTCGAGACATTTTCTCCCATGTCACCACCACACGAATGACCTCTTCCTCTTTACAAAACCAGTACTTATTGTTTCAGTGACTGACACAGCGCTCTTTGTAACATAATCACGGCAAGTATATTTACTATGGTAGAACGAACTTGAAGAAAAATAAGACATTGTGGAAGAAGAGCTAGAAAGAATATGAGTCAGAAGATAGGTAGCTGGGATAAGTGTCATCTTCCAGACAAACACAGCCATTGCAATCATGAACTCACACAAGTTCAGGTACTTTTAATGGAACTGCAAGAGGCTGGCCTTGTTATCAGTCAGTCATACATGGAAGATGGTTTCCTGGGGCCTCCTACGTCTTACTACTGGACTGTTTGGCTACTGATAGATTCTGGGAGAGGGAGAGTAATTGCCTTCCACTGTGTACCCACTGGTAGGCCCATCAGGCTACAATGGATAGTTCCAAACCCATGATGACACATGACCCTGGATAAACGCAGTAGGTCATAAAACAGAACAAAAACACATGGTTGCAAGAAAGAAATATGTAGGGAAGAGGGAAGTTGACAGGAATGGGAGGGAGACAAGACAGGGTAAGGAATGAAAGCAAGCAGAATGCATTGTGTGTGTGTGTGTGTGTGTGTGTGTGTATAATTATCAAAGAATAAATTTAATTAATAAAACATTTTTCTAAAATTAATTGTCACATATGTGATGTAATTGAGTTTGGAATGCAAAGGATAAAAAAATGTGTGGGCATTACAATTTCAGTACCTTCAAATTTAGCTTCTTGTTTCATTAATAGACAATAAAACAAAATTCAACTCTTCAGAATTTGTTGATAATCTTATGGCACAGAGTAGTTCTAATTACAAGACACATACAACCTATATAAGAGCCTTAGAAACTGACTATAAGGTTGAAATTTCACTTTTTGTTTGAATAGAGAAAATTATTCATCATGTTTTATAAATAAACAATATAGGACTTAACACAATCTTCAGTGTCAAGGGATTACCAAGGTAGAGGGTAGGAAAACAACTAGATGATTATAGACATTATAGTCAACCAAGTAACTAGATTTGGAAAGAATAAGGAAGAAATGTGATCTCATTTAGACAAATAATCTGAGCATTAAAGTTGCAACTTTTTAAAGTGCTTTGTCATAATTTTTACTGATTAAATTATAATTTAGAGAGTTCACCCTCTCTGAGAAGAGTCAAGAGATTTACTTGAAGATTAAATATTCACAGCTTCTCTCTGTGTTCTGGGTGTCTTAAGAAACTGGCAACCAACCAACAATTACAAGGCTAACAGACAAATGTGAAAAATCAACTTGCAACACAGAAACATTATGTGGTGTAATTAGTGTGGGGTGTGATTCATCACATGGTGGGTACCACATGGAGGCTCTGCCAGGAAGGAAATGTAGTGCATCAAGATGCGGATCAGGAGCAGGGAGAAAGGGGTATGGGGAAAGTGTTTAAAATGCTGTTAATTATATGTCTCTAGATTAATTTGGATTTTAGTTCATGGGTAGCTTGGTTTGTTTATGACGGTGTTACTTTGATTACTTGATATAGACAGGCTTTCTGAAAGTTTATCATCTGGCAACATTATCAATGGAATATCGTATCTCAGAGCTATATGCTTGACAAGACGTTAAAATCACTGTATTTTAAAAATAGCTAATGTATAGCAGAATCATTTGAATTGTCCTTAAAAATAACTGATGTTGTCTAAGGTCAAACATATTAAGAAAAAAAGAGGAAGAGGAATGGATTGAATTTTTTGCATATTTCCAAACTTTCAGGCACTGCCCATACAGTTACAACAGACAGACACACAGACACACAGGAAATCATAATTTGAAATTTTTCTGATTAATACAATGATACATTTTTATTAACTATTTAAGTTCATAGAGATTCAGCCTATGACCATACAGCAATAAATGATGTATTTGATGTTCAATTTTGACTTTTGTAGCTTATTGCAAATGATATTATAGTTTCTTTGGTTACAGATTACTTGTAAATCAAAAATAACATCCACTTCTTTTAAAATATATTCTCCACTATCTTGTCTTTCCTTGACATTAACTGAATATGTCAGATAATGATCGAAGTTTCTTTGGCAACATTCCCTCTGTGGAGAATATTCCTGGTCTCCTCATGAAACTATCCAAATACATAAAGAAAACTGTAAGCCATGGGCTTGAACCTGAGCTATTACTGACATCAGTATAGAAGGTCAATGTCTGGCAAAATAACTCTCCATAGACAATGTAATTGCTGGCTCTCTAGAGATTCATTTCTTAACTCACAATTTAAATGCACTAAACATTTCCCTTATGAGGTCAGCACACCTGAGGTAACTCATGAATCTGAAGAGTAGTTTATTCATCAGAGCACACCGGCCCACTTTCTACAGTTGACATAAGCTGATCTTATGACCTGCATTTCCTTGCAGCTCTTATGGTGAACCTGTGGTCAGTGGAGCCTTCTCCCAGGTCCCAGAGGGGACTGCAGTGTCTGACAGAGCTTGCTTTACTGTATGTACTTGGAATAGACCGAGGTTCTCAACATTCCAGTCCAGCCACCTCTCTTGCTCTTTGCTAGATTTTCTGTTGCTATTAGCTTTTGTTTTAATCATGTTTCCTAGATACTTAGCTCATGTCATGCTTTTATTTTAAATAAATTTAGACATTTTTTCAAGTAACATTTAGTAAAATGTCACTGTTGTTTGTGTCCTCTGCTTTTCTTAGCATAGAAATTCTAAGATCTTTTACAAATTTTATTTTAAACTATTTTTAAAATTCTAAGTTATTATTTTAGCTCTAAAAAGTCAATTTACCATTTTAAAAAAGTTCTTATTTTAAGTGTATCCTAAACTACAACATCGTAAAATAAAACAGTTTAAGTGTGAATTTTTAAAAATATTTTATTATTTTTATTTTATGTGTATGAGTGTATTGCCTGCATGTATGTGAGTGCACCCGTATGGTATCGTGCAATGCTGGAGGTCAGAAAAGAGCTTTGGATTCCCAAGAAACTGGAGTTAAGGACAGTTCATAGCTTCCATGTGGGTGCTAGGAATCGAACCATGGTCCTCTGCAAGAGCAGTCAGTGGTCTTAACTGCTGAGCCATCTCTCCAGCCCCATGAATGTTATAGTAATTATTGAACTAAATTAGCTATTGTCTTATGAGGAAAAAGTCTTCCCATTAATGGTGTAAATGGATTATCTGTGGTGCGGAGGATCTAATCTATGTTCTTCTGCAACAGGTTCAAGAGGCAGGAGTTAAATACATTGGAGGACTGCTTGATGGACTTTAGTGTGGAAAATGGCAAAAGGCTCTGAAGCTGCATGATGTCATAGTTCTATTACTTTAAAATGTAAGAAAATGATGGATTGCCTTATGAAAGAATATTATTCAAACTGTTAGTATCATGCAATTGAAAGGAAACACCAGTTTCAGGCGCTAGACCCTATTTGGTGGAAGGGACCATAAAATAATATGTTTCTCTACTTAAGGTCTCTTAATTTGATAATGATCACTAAGATATTAAATATTTTTTTCAGGGGGTTAGAGGGATGGCTCAGCCCTTAAGAGGACTCAAGTTAGGATCCTGCCACTCAAGTCAGACATTTCAAATCACCCCTTACTCCAAGTTCAGGGGATCAGAATCCCTCTTTGGCCTCTGTGGGTACCTGTATTCACATGTACATACCCCTGCACCTCTACAACACACACATACACACGCAGAGACACACACATACATAGACACATACATACACAGTCAAAAAATACAATAAAGTAAAACAAATAATTTTTTTCAGAATTCACAAAGGTGCTGATTCCCTTTAGATTCATGGACCCTTTTCAGTAAGAGAATTATCCCCAAGAAAGAGCATTAATCTTACTTAACCCTTTCTGTTTAAGGAAGGGAATTATTATCAACACAAATTAAAGCCCCATCCTAAATGAAAATGGTGCACGTGTCCCCCATAGACGATGGAAGTATGGAAAGGCCTCAAGCAGGGCAATTAAACTAGAAAGACAGCAAAGAACTCCACACTGAGAGACTGCATTGTGAAGTTAGCTGCTTTAAATATAATGGAGCAAAAGCCACAATTTAGTTTTGATTTTGAAGTTGTATCTTTCATGATAGGGGCACCTCGGAGCATCCAAAATAACAAATAAAGGATGAAAACTAAATATGCAGTTGGATTGCAATGTGTAAAACAAAATGGTTTGTATGTGATGGAAATCAATTAAATATCAATTTAAAAGGTAGTTTTTGTGTCTTTCGTACTATCATAACCAAATGTAGGGAAGGTAGACAGAGGAAAGAGGGAGGAGAAATGGAGAAATGGAGAAGGAAGATAGAAGAGGGAAAGGGGGGCAGTGAAGGAAAGGGAAGAAGGAGGAGGAGAAGGCGAGAACTTTATCTTAGTGTTTATGTACAGTGTGGTACTTTGGTCCTTCACATCCAGATTATTGAGTACAAAACCATGATACAAAAAGCACTTCGTTTAAAGAAAGAGTGGAAAAAATCATTAATTGTGCTTGCTTTCTTTTTTCTACATCATGTAAAGGTCTTTTCCATTTAGCTTCTCTAATTAAAAAAAAAAAAAGTAACAAAAAGTGCTCTGGGATTTCAAAGCTAAAACCTTCAGGGATGGAAACATGCATGGCAGGGATAGAGAATGGATTCCAAATCATCAGAAGCCTAGCCTTAGCTCAACTCAGCTCCCAGGTGAAAGACTCCAAGGAAGTGAACGGGGGTGCTCCCAGGAAATGGGATGATGTTAGAAGATTCAACAGGGGCCTCTACAGGAATTCTGCTCAGTGGGATCAGCTCTGGGTCACAGCTTCCGGCCTGTCATGAGTGAAAATTAAGGAAACCAGGATTTTTGATGCCAAATTTTAGGTATATAGTATGGAGATCAGCAGAGAAAAAGGAAGTTTGGGCAGTATGAAGCTCAACCCATCATAATCAAATAAAAGACTCTTAATTAGTTACTTTTGTCTTTTCCCTGTGTAACTAACCATTCCCATTTCAGAATGCTCTCCATTACAAACATGGGCAGAGGGAAGGGAGACATTGAGCTGATTTACATATTAAGATTCCACAACCTACCCAGAATCTATTAAAAAATTCAAGTTTATTTTCATTAATAAAATAATTTGTGATTGTATTGAACAAGTTATCTTAAGTAAACTATTACTTATTACCAAATGTACTCCTTTTTACACATGTAAATTCATTCCATTTAACAGACTAGGTAGCACTTAGCAGTCTACTATGTCTACATGAGCAGTGAGACTCTTACTCTGTACCTCAACACCAACAGCAGCCCTTTCTACAAACACAGAGTCATTGGCAGAGGGCATTGTTGGTGAGTATATTCTAAATTGAGCTTTCAGAATCATTTGAGGAGTACTTAATGGAATCAAAAATTTCTAGAACAGATGGCCCTCAATTCTGGAAATCATTACATTCAAACCATTTTCACGTATATTAACTGTGTGTATGTACATGAATTTTATGCAAAGAAGTTGAAATAATTTATAATTTCATGCATTTCTATAAGAATTTGTAACAACATTATTTACCTCTTTAAGTTCACCCTCAGTATTAAGAAATTCTGTAACTCCACTGATAAGTTTGGAATTCATAAATAATGCTTCTCCATACCTAAAAATATAAAAGAAAAATGTCTTAATGTCAATACAGATACTAATTTAAGAAATCTTGCTACAATTATTTTTTAGAATACTTTCCAAAGTTTTGGTTGACAGACTGTCAGGGGTCCCAGAGCATTCCCAATCATTCCTCTATGGAGTAGGAAAGATATAAGAAAGCATTATTGCTATGGGATGCCATCAAATCCACCTGATTTGCCTCATAGTACTTCAAAGAATTGTAAGTTTTAGTACGTTTTTCAAAACAACTCTAGAATTTGATTTAGTAATTACTGTTCTATTTCCAAGCTAAAGCTTCAGAGAGGGACACTTTAAAATATTCTAGTTCACGGCAACCTAGGTCATCTTAAGGGAAAAGTCTCCCAAGAAAGTAAGAGGACGGGCATGACCAGTATGTCACACAGATTTTGTGGTCTGGCCAGTCACAACTGACATTGATTTTCTCCTAGTTCAGTTGGAAATCAAGGCAAAATTTTCAAAAATGGGCTTCCAAAACATCATCAACATTTCATGTGGTTATAAAAGTATCAGTATCTCATGCTTCTTTAAATTACATAATGATTCTTTCACTATGAAAAAACAATTACTTGGGCTGGGCATGGTGGCACACACCTTTAATCCCAGCACTTGGGAGGCAGAGGCAGGCGGATCTCTGTGAGTTCAAGCCCAGCCTGGTCTACATAGTGAGTTCCATGACAGTTGGGGCTACAGGGAGACCTTGTCTCAAAAAGACCAAAAAAAAAAAAAATTACTTGACTAATGACAACTGTTGAATGCATATCAGTGAATGGGAAGCTCTCTTCTTACTGATCTACCTCTATTCTGCTAAAGGTATCTATCATAGACTCACCCTCTCAGAACCAAGACAAGTAAACAGCAAACAAAACTAGGATTTTGGAAGCAAAGGTCTAGCTATCATTACAACATGCTTTCAGTGCTCCTTAACTTGTACAAACTTCAGTAATTTAGCTGCAAAAGGACTTAGTTTTCTCATTTCTAAAAGAGGGAATCAAGTGGAATGAATGTCACAATGATGAAAGTTATCTTAATAAATGCAAAATTGTTGTCATTCAATAATTTTACAAACTTCCAGATGTTGTGGTGCATTTTTGTAATCCAACATTCAGGAGACAGAGGCAGGGGCCTGCTCCAAGTTTGAAGCTAGTAGAGTCTATACAGGAAATTCCAGAACTACAATTAGAGAGTAATACTCCGTCTCAAAAAAGGAAACAAAGAGACAAACAACAAAATAATAATACAGGTGACCATTGTAATCAGTATGTTGTCATAGAAGTAAGGACCTTAGAAAAGGAAAAGTTACTTCTAATAATAAGAATATGGCCTGATCTCTTCTTTGTATGTGCTTTATCAAGTTGAAGAGCTAGACATGTAAGAAGACAATCTGCATTTAATGTATCTACATGTGGTAATGATAAAATTATATGTAGGATTCAGAGCGGGCCTTGAACTCTGTGCTTTAAGAGATACATCTAAACCGAGTACAGTGTTCTGAGAGAGCAATTCTAGGTGGAGGTCCAACATAAACAAAGGCAAGGAAATGTGAAAGAGCATGGTTGTGTGCAGACAGCTTCAATCAATTAGGCACCAAGATGGCATGAACTGTGAGACTGGGCCAGAAGAAGAGACTGAGGAGAGGTTAAGTAAAGGATATATTAAGAAGCTCATGTGTTCAGTACAACACAGAATCATAAAAAGTTTTACTGCAGGGAGTTGTCACGCTTGCTTTTTAGAAGGTTCTTGATAAAAAATGAAGACATATGTGCAGGTATTCAGCGGTGTCATTCCAGACACAGGAAGACAGAAGACTACTTTAAGAGTACTTAAAGACAAAAAAAAATAACTGTGATAAAGACATGGTAGCAGAAATAGTAAGGAAGCCTTCAATAAACATCCAACAATTGTGGAGAGGACCTCAAGTCTAATGCTTTATGGCAAAAGAAGGAGGATGTTTGTATAGAAGCCAAGGAGTGCAGCTAGGCAATTGGTGAATGGTTATATGATTTACTAAGGAAAGGAGAAGAGGTAGAAAATGATAGATTCAGCTTTGCAGGTGTGTTCTAAAAGCAGACCTGAATGGGAATGTATCTACTATAGGGTGACATGTGGTGAAAGGCATGATCTAAAGAAATGAGTTTCGGAGTGGTAGAAACCATGGCGCTCGTGACTGAAATCAGACGGAACATGCAGAACAAGGTAATGTCCTAGACAGTCCCTCCCATGAGCCCCCAAATTCAAGAACTGATAGGAAACAGGAGCAAATAAATACACTTCTTGTGATGATAAACAGTACATAGTTTTAGAATGAAATCTCAAACTTTCTACCTTCTGACTTGCAGTCATAGATTCTCAGAGACGAAATAAGCATTCTCAGAACCAGGGTAAGAGGAAATAATCTGTAAATGTGTTATATCTAGATTCCACTGAACTCTAGTCTTCAAAACCAAAGAAACTGTTGGGTGTGTTTTTGACATCCTTTAAACTAAAATGCTCTTGTGTTGTAGTTTCACCTTAACTGCCTGTTACATGAAGCATTATAAGCACAACAGCATAAAACAAGGTCTCATCTTCCAGTCATTCTAAGTTCTGAACTGAAAACATTAAAATGCCAATGTGCCTTAAAGAAATATCAGTAGTTTCTAACAATGACATATCTATGGACAGAATTGTGTTCGAATATGACATATGCAATCCAATTGAGCTTGTTATGCAAAGATAACTGATAAAGCTGTGCTAAAATACAGTCATTTTTGACATCAGTTTTGAAGAGACCAAATGTTAGGTGTGCTTGCTATCTGGGAAAATTTATATTGGAGAATAACACGCAGCATTTACATCCTCTATAATAGATTTAATTTTGAAATACCATAGAGATTATCTGAGAAATAAATTAGCATTTATTATAATATATTTGAATACATAATGAAATATTTTCTAAAATTGAAGCTGAAGAATTCTCACCACGAAACAAGATATCCTAGGAATTAATTCTACTACAGCTGGAATAATACAATGATTCCAGTGATTAATGTGGCTTCTCCATGTCACTGTTTTGTTTAGGTGTTTTATGATATTTACATTTTAAAATAACAAAACAAATCTACAGCAGTAAAGTTTCTGTTTGGAGTAGCATTTACATGTGAGTTGTGCTATTTTCCTATAATATGTACAGAATATACAAGTTTTATGATAGTATTTCAACTTTCAGCAGTTTAATGAATTTCTCAGAATGTTCTTCTTCTGAACATTTTCTGCTACCTCCGTATTCCTCCATTAATTAAACTTAAGAATTTTTATTAAATGAGGAATGTTATAGAATTGTTAAAATGATAGTGAGTTTCGTGGGAGTGACATCACCAATTTTTGCTGAATATTTTAAAGTCTAATTCTATCACTTGATTTAGACTTCTAAGACAAAACTTGGGTGTCTATTCTTCAATTGTCAGTTTTTATTTGTTTTCCTACCTGGTATTTAATATCTTCCATTTGTCTCTGAAAAACTTCCAGGCAAGGTCTCGACCATGTGGATTTCTAGCTACATGGATTATAACATCAATTGCATCTTGATCCAGCACCACCTCAGAATTCAGAGACAGATTTAGAAGCCTATAAGGATAGAATTGTGGAGAGAATTTTAGTCCAATAACAAATATTTGAACTCTTAATAAAATTACATGATCTAATTTGTCATGTTCTTAGAAATATATTTGAGCAAAACCTCTTCTATACACATAGTACAATTTCTTTTTTTAATATTATTTTTTATTTTTTCGAAGAATTATATCATTACAGCTTTAACATGCCCAATAACAGTTTCCAGAGCAAAGACACAGCTCCTTCAAAAGTGGCTATAAAATTTCTAGGTTTGCTGTTGAATCAATACAGTTATACAATATTGAACTCAGTATAAGCCCTGTAAGACATAAAATTGAATGAGTTTTTAGCCCTCAAAAAAGACCTCCCTCCATTTCATTCTAAAATATACTGTTTCTTACAGAAAGACTCATTGTTTTTGCTAATAACACTGAGATGTTCGCACGTGTGTCTCTAATCTGTGTGTATCTGATTATTACAAGTTATAATCCTTTGCACTCAGATCATTGGCACCTGTGTATGTCTATTAAGTCATCAGGTAGATTTCAATGGTAATGTTCATCACCTCTACTAATTAACATGATGTAAATTTTTATGCTTCCTCCTCAAATATAGTACATTTTTTAATTTGTTGATTTTTTTTTCTCTGTGTGTATATCACACAGAACATCCCAAACCATCTTATTCAACTATACACCCACTTCCCAGATGGCACCCTCTCATAGCCTCCCTCCCCCACACTAGAGCCCTTATACTCTGTTATCCCTGCCCCTGCCAAGCGTCCCCACTACTTATCCATCTGGTGAATCTAGTCGCCTATCTAGAGGTCTTTGTTTTAGGAAGGTCAGCTGTTCCTCATCTAGCAGCAATCTATCGTCAATATTCCTTTAGATAAGACTGGGGTCTGCTGTTTATTTTCCCAGTTCTATGCTGGGTTACTATCTTGGAGTCCCTTGGGCATAGTACAATGTCTGTTGATAAAATAGAGATCAGATTCATAGCGTTTTTATTAAAAATGATAATTAAACTTTAAAATGTCTTTTGGATGTGAAACCAAAAATTACATTTGATTACATTGCTCCCCTTTCAAATTCTTTATAGGAATTGTTTCCTTTGATCATGATAGTTTCACACATTATATTTGATAATGATAGATATACACATTATTTTTATAAAATAATTAGTCATAAACAAAAATGTGTTTCAAGTTAAGTGGCTTTAGTCATGTCAATATGTAGTTTTCCTTATGTTTAGAAAGATAAGTTTTACAGTGCCATATATTTAAGGATAAAAATTAAACGTTAGACAGTGGATTACAGATAATCCTTTCATTGAGAAAAACAGACTGGGGAAATTAATGGACCCACCTGTTTAATAAATTCCTGTCATCGCTGCAAGTTAAAGCCTCCAGTAATATCTTCTTCTCAGACACTGCTGTAGTGGAGTGGAATTTCATCCAGATGAACTCCCAGACATCCTCATCCAGCAGTGAAACTCCTGTACAGTACACGATGTCTCTAACATTTAGTGGTATTCTAAAGAAGCAACCATGGTGGTTTTCTGTTAATTAAAACCTTCATGATTTTGAAAATAAAGACAGATGTTGCTTTGCTACAATCAATTTCTAAAAAGATGATTTGCTCATTATATTTCTCCTAAAGGAACGTAATATTATATAGTAATAATGCTCAAACATATTGCTGACTGCAGGAACAGAATAATGTCTTTTATTCCAAGGAAGTATTGAGTTTAAATTTTTTGTTCTTATTTTTATCTTGACATACAGTCTAGTTATATGACTCTGGCTGGCCTGGAACTCGCCAAGTAAACCAGGCTCAATCTGCCTCCAAGTGCTGGGATTTCAAGCCTGTGCCAACATGACAGGCTATGTTTCCATTTTTAAAATTATATTTAAACAAAACTAATAACAAGATCATCATCAAAGAACCAAAAAACCCCAAGAATCTTTTTGCTTTGAACGAGGACGACAAAAACATGAGATGACTAATTTATTTGAATAAGAAAACATTAATTTTCTTTTAAATTTTAATATATTGTCATCTAAAAGTAATTTCCTCAAATATAAGTACAAAGATTATAAATTTATGATAAACAATAAAACATAAGTGACAAAGGCCTTTCCACTATGCCTATAAAAACTATTAAAGTACACCAAAATATTATTTTGATTTCAAAATAAAAGTCAGTGGGAAAAATTAGCATGAATGTAGTTAAGCTCAGTGCCTCATAAATTATAAAACTGCAAATCTACTTTCACATAGTAATACTTTTGCTAAATGTTAATTCTTCATGTTCCTATATATACAATTTATAAAGAGCCACAATTTTTGGATCTTTAAAAACTTCGTCTGAAGGAATATTCTAATACCTTTAAAAAGTTGAAAACTGTATTTCCCTTTTTGCAATATTCATTGACATTTCCCATTAATAATTTGAATGTGACTGTGCAGATTGTCTTCTCTGCGTGATAAAAAGAGACAATGCTTTTGAATATTTAGAACTTTGATGGTCATGACATTGGTATAGTTAAAGCAGGGTCTGGAAAGCAGGAGCATGGCTGAGTGACTGCAAGTGTGGGGGGGTCTGAATCTCATTCTACTAAACAGTTAAGCAGAATTACTTACAAGAAAGTGACCCCTTTCCTCACTAGTATTTAGAAATCAAGCATTAGTCCATTTGCTTGGTTTGGTTTAAAATGGAAATAGAGTCTTAGAGGCCCCTAAGCTCTTACTCATATGAACATACAGCAATGATGCGACAGCATGCACAAGACCCATGCAAACTCAAATAGACAAAATCCCAGCATAGAACTGTGCAAATGGGCACCAGCCCCAATCTTAGCTGAGGAACTATTGGGCAGATTATTACTGCTGGGTGAGGAAGAGTTGAACTTCTTTAAGGGAACGACTCTAGATAGGCTGACTTTACCCCAGCGAATGAACTTGCTCTGAGGGATGCCTGGGGACACGAACTTGACTTGATAGACCTTAACACAAATGACAGAATGCATGAAATCCAGTGGGGGGGCAGGGGGTGTTATAGGAGGGTGCCAATGGGGAAGGGGGTATAAAGAGGAGTATGATATGTATTAAATACACAAAAAATCAATTAAAAATATACCAAAAGGGGGTGGGGGTGGGGAATGACATAGAGACATAGTCCAAAGAATCAGAGGGCATCACATCCTTTATTTGTTTTCTGTCTCAGCCTGGATCACCCATAGAAGTTGCCAACAGGAATCCTTCCAGTAGTTGCTTAAACAGTTTTATCCTTCTGGTTATGATCAGCTTTGTTACCTATACCATAGGGCATACCAAATTTGCTAAGGAAAGTACTGTAACTACTTTCAGAATAAAGTACTCAGTAAGTGAAACCTAAGAACAATGAATTGCCTGTTTTCACTAATTTTCTAAAGCAGCAGCAGCTACAAAAAAAGGGGGTGAATAATTTCTTCCAAATATAGGATATGGAGGACAACACCACATAATTGTATGACTTTGGCCAAGAGATTGGTATAGAAACTTACAAGAAAAAAACAAAACAAACATATACATTGAAATCACTAATTCATCAATTAATATCAGAGAGGTTAGTAACACTTTACTTCCCAAAAGAAATTTACTCAACTATTAACGATGAAAGAGAAGATGAGAATATGGCCCAATGAATAAGGCTTACCATGGCCTACAGAGCAAGCCTCCATATTAACATTTTTATATACAAAAAACACATAGAGGGGATGGAAAGATGGCTAACCAGTTCAGAGCAGTTGCTGATCTTGCAGAACCCATACGGCAGTTCACAGCCATCTGTAACTTCAATTCCAGAAGATCTATACCCTCTTCTGACCTCCACAGGCACAAGGCACAGCATATGTGGTGCACATACACACATGGAAGCAAAACAATCATACACATAAAAGTAGATATTGTACTTAAAGCATATATAGAGAGAAAGGAAAAAATGTGATGAACTAGATATTCAACTACACTCTCTGGAAATTCCATGAGTACACTTCTAAGGTTGCTAGCAAAGAACCATTCATCTATAACTCAGTGGCAACTACTAGTTTCATCAGTTGTACTGTTTGAGACACATACACAAATCAACTCATGGTTTGGCCTCTCTAACACATGACAGACTGTCTATAGAGGCATCAGCATTGAAAAAGAATGTTTTCTGGAATTCCATGTTTCTTGAATAGCAATCTTATTTTAGTCTGCATCTAACTACTCTTTTTCTCTAAATCTAATGTTTGCATGGCATCTGTGTATGAACTACTCTTTGTAGCAGAACGGACTCTTTGCTGGAAGAGGATATTTTTTGTTTTTAAAATTGTACAGTTTATTGAGAAAGTTCTTTTTTAAATATTTTATTTATTTTTATTTTATGTGTATATGTGTATTGCCTGCATGTAGGTGAGTGCACCCATGTCATACAATGCCCACAAAGGACAGAAGAGGCTGTCAGATCCCCTGGAACTGGAGTTACGGATAGTTGTCAGCTGCCATGTGGGTGCTGGGATTCAAACCCAGGTCTTCTGCAAAAACAATCAGTGTTCTTAACTGCTGAGAAAGTTCTGTGAGTCGTATCAACATTTTTCAATTAGAGATGACCAAAGCCTCTGATGACCGTGTATCTTGGTATCATTGTATTTCATGTCCTGGGTGTTAATTTCCATCCACAGCTAAGGAAGATGCAGTCATTGTAGTTTCAGGCAGCCTTCTGGTCCATTCTCTCTACATTTTCCCTCTTTTACTTCTATATTTCTATTGGTCTGTGTCCTAGATTGTTTCTTCATTGCTGTAGCAAAATACTGTGACCAGTACCAACTTAGGTAGGAAAGGGTTTATTTAGCTTACATCTCCCAGGTCATAGTTCATCAGGGAGCCCAAGGTAAGAACTCAGGGCAGGAACCTGGTAGAAGGAGCTAGAGCACAGGCCGTGGAGGAATGGTGCTTACTCTCTTGCTCCCCTGGCCCCTGCTCAGCCTGCTTTCTTATGCAACACAGGCCCACCTGCCCAGGGGTGGCACCACCCACAGTGGGCTGGGCCCTCCCACATCACTCATCAAGAAGATGCCCCTCAGACATGGCCACAGGCCAGTCCAATAGAGGAAGTTCCCCAATTGAGGCTCCCTCAACCCAGGTGTGTCAAGTTGACACTAAAGCTATCCAACACAGTCTGCTTGATGGTGCTCTAGAAATCTCTTAAGCTTTTATGATTTGTCTATAATTTTGCTGATCCTTATGCATGATTCAGTCTGCTGTTGAAGACTTGATGTGAATTTTTAGTTCAGATATTCATTTCTATGGCCTATTGGTACTTCTTTGAACTATTTTTACTATTTTGTTGAAGTTCTCACTTTTCTTTCTTGCATTTACTCTTCAATTCAGTGAGCATACTAATGACTTTTATTTTGAATTATCAGGTAAACCAATATATTAAGGTAAGTCTCTAGATTATCATTCCTTAGTGTCAATGCCTTTGCTTAATACATTTCCTACCTTTACTTTCTTAGTGGATATCTGCACAGCAGTCTCTTTTCCGAGGTCATAGATGAGCCCCATACAAGAAGGGCCCATAGGAATCTGAAAGGCCTCTACTAAGCACTTCCTCCATAGAGAAAAGCACAGAGCTTTGGCTTTTGTGTGCTTTCTCTGTTGAACTAGGGGAGAAACTGTGGTATCTAACAGTCCAACCCACTATCTCTGTTCTCCCCTAAGTGGTTATATTGCACCAGATGCATAAGAACTCCATTTCTGGTAAACCAAATTGTCACTTTTGGGGAAGACCCAGTGATATCGGGGCATTGGTTAACTCCTCTTCTCCAGAGAAGAAAGCTAACAGCTGGACTTTCTCCCTCATTTGGTCTGTGCAGAACACTAGGGAAACACTTGTATCTTCTAGTCCATCTGTCTATCTTCTGTCTGCACACTCTCTTAAGCAACCAAATTCTGTCAGATCTGTCAGAACTCCAAGACTGGTAACAGATTGCTCCAAGATGGATTCATTATTTAAGAGTGTACCATTGTGAATCCCTGAGCCCAACCAATGAGCTGTAGTTATAGTAGTATAACCATTATACTAGAAACATTCAGCTACTCACATCTGTCATCTCTATTATCTTTTTAAAAACTGTATTTCTAAAGCAGACTTTAGTAGGCCATCTTTGAGAAATATTTGCTAGTTCTTTGAGCAGTCTTGAGAGATTAGAGCATTACATACAAGGATCATATCTTTCCCTTTCTTGGAGGAAACTGAGAACTGTACTTTTAATCTGCCTACTCCGTGCTGAGCAAGTGGATCATCTGCTGTGCTAAAACTCAAGCAGTCATGGACTATGCCAGGTACTTCACAGCTCCAATACAGGAAAGATAGGAACCATTCCTCTGTTAGGGAGGGCCCCTGAGTGCAGAAAAAGCACTAGATGCATGAAACAACGGTTTTCCTCCTCTGAGACTGGCATAGAACCTTGGATCTCTTCCTAGTCATGTGATGTTCGGTCAGAAAG